GACACATCTACTGGATGACTTCGGAGAGATCTCGGGACTGAGGGTGAACTGGGGAAAGACAGTTGGTGTGCCGTTGGGCAAGAACAGAGGCTTACCTCCACCGCCTGACACACCGTACACTTGGGCCGGAAAAGATGAGCCACAGAGACTTCTTGAGATCTGGATAACCTCGGGCGGAAATCCAGAGCCATCTTGGGAGAAGGCGGCAGTCAAAGCGGGGGAGGTAATGGTAAAGTGGCAGAACCAGCACGTTAAAACTTCGGCGAGGGTATCGGTGTTGAACTCGTATGCCACCCCTATCCTTCTCTTCCAGGCGCAAGTCTAACCGCCGCCGAAAGGAATGTGGAAGAAAAGATGAGCCACAGAGACTTCTTGAGATCTGGATAACCTCGGGCAGAAATCCAGAGCCATCTTGGGAGAAGGCGGCAGACAAAGCGGGGGAGGTACTGGCGGAGTGGTACCGGGGAAGAGATGTGAAATACTCCTATCTAACAGAGCACACCAACTCCGCCTCGAGGTTCACAGGCTAACACCGTTACTGGTGGAGAATAACCAGCTGATGGGGGAAGCAGGGCTCGCGCTCACAAGGCTGAGGTTGTTGATGCTGTGCGAGAAAGGGAAAGGGGCCACTCTGAAAAAGCTGAGGGCGGTGTTGAAGGGACTGGTGGAGCAGCCGAAGCAACAGAAGAAGTGGGAGCAAGAATATGGGAAGCCCATAGACTGGAAAGGGGCTATCCGGAAGAGAGACACCCTGGTCACCCCGGGCAGCGCGCACGAAATCATTTTAAGGCTCCATAGCAAGAACCTGCAGGTGGGGGAGAGTTTGAAGTTCATGAAAGACCGCATCAGCTGCCCGCACTGTGCAGAAGACGAAACCCTAACTCACTGTTTGCTGGAGTGCGGCTGTATACAGCCTGTCATCGGCGCGGTTAAGGGGGCGCTGAAGTAGATAAGTCCAAAAAGGGAGGTGGAGAGGCTCGAGGATTTCCTGTTTGGGGCGGATGTCACGAAGTTGGGCTTCCCAGAAAAGCCACTGATTGCGGTCGCCTTTCATCAGATTTGGCTGGACCGCTGCGAGGCAGCTTTTTGTCAGGGGAAATTTCAGCCATAGCGAGTACTCCGGAAAATTGGAATGAACTTCATGAAGCATGTTAGGATCTACAGTGCCTACAAGAAACAGGTGGCAAGGAGTGATGGGCGGAGTGGGGCACGGAGTTGGCTCCACCTGGCACAGGATGAGGCTATAATGCTAAGACGGATATTCGAAGATGAGAACACGCTGATGTGGAAGGAAGGTTTCAGATCTGTGAGGGCTAACCCGATAACTGCCTTCCAGCCACCCTAGAAGGCTATGGAAGGGCTGAGAAGACACTCTTGTCTTCCTAGTCCCTCCCCCCCTGTGAGATTACGACGGCTTATGCTGGCTTTGCTAGCTTGCCTGGACTTTATTATGCATTATCTAGCTTAGCATTATTTTGCTTTGCTTGCTTTTGCTTGATTTCCTAGGTTCGTTGCTTTTACTATAGTTATTATAGTTATAGGCACCGAACTAGGTTGAGTGCACCGAATTCTAGGCTTTTCGGTTGCCACCAAATTGCCTTCTACCGAATTCGGTATGGGTCTGTTCGGGACGCTTCGCGACCCTCGGAACCTTCGCATAACACCTAGTTACAGGGCCTTGTGTCGAGCCTATATATAGCCTCGTGTTGTACCCAGGTGATCATTCAATTCAAACTCTCTTTTTTGAGCTCGATCCTAGATCCTCACACTTGGTAATCAGAACCTATTTACACGCGGGTTTTTCGACCGCTAAAAACCTAGCTTTAAAACCGCAGGGACGATGACGAAAGCGCCGATTTCGGGTACGTAAACCAGTTCCGCGCTATTTTTTAACGTCCCCCTCGAACCGGTTTTCGAACACTCCTCAGGAACATCGGTGAAGAAGTTGGAATTTCGACCGTCGGATCGATTTGAACATCAACGGCCCTGAGAATTTCGCTAAAGAAAGTTGAAATTTGGGGCGTCGGATCGAATTTCAGCTCAACGGCCGAGATCTGACGCGAATTCGGGCTAAGGGAGAATTACTCGACTAGCGGAAATAGCGCTCGACATTTATACAGTCGGTCCATTTTGCAGTAAGTCGACCATCGCCTAGTTTTCAATTATTTCTGTTGCAAACCTTCCTGTAAATCGCCAAATGGAGGAAAATGGTGATAATTCCGTACGAAAAATTATGGGGTTACGCACCGACCTGGACCAGATGCGAGCGGCACTCCAGCGAGCAGATGAGCTTTTCGCGAACCAGTCGGCATCCGCCACGGTAGCAACGAACACAGCAGCGAATGCAGCAGTGACGGCAGCAGCAGCAGCGACAATACCGACATTTTACCCAGCAGCAGCCACAGTGAATCTTGAGGCGGCACGTCCGAGGCTACCGGAGACGTTCAATCCGAATGCGAGAGACGCCGACGTCCGTCGATTCATTGCGACACTCGAAATTTATTTCGAGGCCGTTGGCTGTACGACCCCGACACACGATGCAATGCGGATTCGGCTCGCAGCGACACTGTTGCGAGGCCCGGCGCTCGAGTGGATTTACAACAGTAAGGAGATCCGAGGTGAGGGATCATGGACGCAGTTTCGGGCAACTTTAATTCAACGTTTCGAACCGATTAATTCGAACAACATGGCGCGGCAGCAAATTCATCGGCATAAATAGTACGGCAGTGTAACACAGTACACGCAGCAGATGGAGAGCCTCTTCAATCGAATTACCGACCTGACCGAAGGGGAAAAAATCCAAGCGTATACTGAGGGGCTAAAAATGGAAGTCCGCCGACAGGTGATTGCTGCGAACTACAACAACTACCGCGACATGGTGTGTGCAGCAGAGAGATTTGATGCGCTGACTCGAGGTCAACCCGAAACACGACGCCACGTGCCGAACAGATCATTCGACACGAAGCGATCGGCATTACCCACGACCGCCGACCCAATGGATATCGACAAGATCGACGCGAAGCAGCGGCCGACAAAATACGAGAAATGCGAAATTTGCGGCGCAGCGGGACATCGATTCTTGGCGTGTTGGAAAATGAAGAAGGCACGAGCAGAGCTGCAGGGCAACAACAGTGCGGCACCCCCGAACTAAAAAAACGAGCATCGCCAGTAGCCGCGGATTGACCTGGCGATTACAAAAAGATCCGGAAAATGCGAAAAGGCGACAACGTGGCGACTTCAGAGCGGGCAAAAAAAGGAGATCATGATGGCGCGAATTTAAAACGTCACGACCGGCCGGCAATCGAGGAAATCGCCGAGGCAAATGGAGGCTCCGTGAAACAGTACTCTGCACCGACCGGGAAATTCTAGCCGAACACCCACGAAAGTAATGATTTTGTTAAAGTTATCCTACAAAGGTACTTTAACTAAGAATATTTTTTCTCGTGATTTTCAAGCCTTAAGGGGAGATTTTGAGGCTAATAAAAAGCCCTTAGAGATTATTCAGGTACCTGAGAAGTTGGGCAAACCACTCCGGAGCGTTGAAAAGGGTCGTGCGTTCCGATGAGTTAATATTCCCTCCCCGCAGCACAGTGTTAAAATCAGCCCTGATATTCACTATGACTGGCGTCACTAATCACTTCCGCGGAGCATCACTCTGCAATCATCCTTGAGCCATAGCCCGACTAAGTCCCCCGTGGGATTGTGATAGTATTTGCCTGGCTAGAATTTCCCGTGTATGATCTCGTAAGTTTCTAGTATTTTCAATCAAAATCTCGTTATTCACCTCATTTCATTCATAAGAAGTGTCATTCGTGGAACACGAGTTTGATTTCATCGACCTCTCGTTTTCATAGTAACGAAATTTTCTTCAGCAACCAAGACCCACGTCAGAAATTCTTCAATGGATGGGGTCCAGGTCAGGGACAGCTTCGTTGGAGCCCATTGAGAGCATTACACGTGGGGAACTTGTAATGGACCGCTTTGAGCCGTCTGAGGAACCCGAACCGCAGCTGATGGGGTCCCTAACTGGGGTAGGTTTACACCTCTCTAGCACACGAACATGACGGTGGGAAAACACTGAACGAATGGATTTGAGGACGCGTCACAAGTAGAACATCGATCCTGCCTAGAATCGGTGTTTAGGTGGTTACACATTTTCGTTTATTTTCGTTAACGTACAGTTTTCCCTTCTAAGTCAGGCGATCGATGTGCCCCTGTCACACACGATCGTGCAATTTCGTCCACATCGGGCAATTTTGCCCCGTGTTTTTACGATCGTGTCACTTGAAACTTCAAAGCAGTCGTGACACACCGATATGGCGATCGGTTTGACAGGTTCGGTGAACAACCCTGATCCTTCCTCGATATTTTACTTGTGACGCGTCCTGAGGAACTTCGGAATCAGAGAAACCTCCAATTGCCTGTCACCTCGAGTCTTCCACTTCGTGTCACGTTGCCAATGATTTTAACCACGTCACCACTCTCAACCGACCCACCTTTTGCGACCACTTTCTTGCAAACACATTCAGGACGCGTTACAATTGCAACACCGATCCCCTTGCGGTTCGATATTTGGTCTGTACAGTACTTCGTAGACCTGTGTATCCTACTTTCGCGAAATTTCGTTAAGACTCGAGTCACGTCACCAAGGAAGATGTCTCCTCCAGATCGATCCGTCACCGTTCTCAGTTCAATCGTAATCATTTACAAATTTCCGAAACGTTTCTAAACCCCTCAAAATAAGGTTCGTGAGGACGATCGCGACACATGTGGCTCGGAGGAGATTGATGTTCACAGTTTCAGTGTGCGACCTTGATCCTCGCCGGTGTTGCAATTGTGACGCGTCCTCAGAGTCCTCTTATCCCTGCTTTGTATGTTGTCCAGAGTTTCTGCAGAAACAACATCTGCTCTGATCTGACCATATTTCTCGGGCGGAAAATCGAGCAGACACAGATTTGTAGTACTAACTGTCGCGGCAAGTCAAAGCGGCGCTTTCCCACATGGATCGCGCCACCCTCGGCGCGCTTTTGCTGCTGCTTTCGTGTCTCGCGGTCTCACAAGTTGCATGCGTTCCTCTTGCCGAGTCCCAGGGTACAGTACACGTTTACCTTGGCGCTACTAGAAAGGAGGCAAAGTATTAACGACGTGGACGTGAATATACTTGTCTCCTCGTTTCTGTCTGCCTTCTTCGCCGTCGATTTTCTGTGGTGCCGCGGTGAGAGAGTGTGTGTGAGAATCGACCGAACAGTCCTCCGTTTTCCATTCCTGCTTCTTCCGAACCCCGCATTGCTTCCTCCTGCCGCCGCCAGCGCAAGTCCTGCTGGACTGTCAGAAGGCGTGGAACACTACGATCGATGGCTGGGTGGTTGGTGGGGACTGCAGCAAGGCAATGAACGTCACGTGCGATGCCAAGGGCATGATCACAACCATGTGAGTGACCCTGGTTATCCGTCCTCGTACTTCTCTTCCGCCATTCATCCCCCATGTCGCCTCGCGCCCTTCCTCCTCGCGCTCTTCCTCCGTGATCCAAAACGCTGGCAATGTGCTATTCAGCTGTTCTGCACGTCCCACCTGTCTCCTATCCGTTCTCGCTTGTTCGCGTGTTTGTCCGTCACATAGTACTAAGGGCTACCTCCTCCCACACCATGTTCACTTCCCCCACATGAACCAGCGTGGGAGACATGAAATGAGAAACATGCAACAGCGTAGTCGTACGAGCGGTTTAAGATTCATCTGAGTCTCCATCTATTCTACCTCACCTGACTCTCGACGTAACGCGGCATGCAAATACGTTTCTATGCAGTAATCTCCACACATGCCCTCTGGTGTTCCCCTCATTCAGATCCCTGCAGTACAGCAATATCAATGGTTCAATCCCTGACTCCATTGGCAACCTTGCAAATATTCGTACTTTGTAAGTGCCTTTCGGGAGACTCAAGTTGGATGTATGCACACCTAGATCACTGCATGCAGGTAGGCACGAGCAAACGTTCAAATCCCGAATCTGCTCGTAACACCCATTGGAATGTGCCAAGGCGGATCCGCCACACTTCATTGGGCCATTGTGTGGCGTGATGCAAGCAAACCTGATTCCGTAGACTTCTGCCCATTGAATGCGGGTGCTTTTCGGCGTTGAGTCTCGTGCCGTTTACGCTTGAGTGCCCGGTTTAGTGGAGTTTCGTGCCCCTTGAAAATGGGCTGAACTTGAACTGACCAGTCGGAACCCACCCACTGTTCGGGACGCTTGGCCTGATTTTATGGTAAGGCCAAGGGCCAGCTGGGCATGAATAATACTTGATCTGCTCCGGTCTAGGGTCTAGTCAGGCTAGTTAGGGTTTGACGTGACTTCGTTGGCCAGCCTGACTCATGGAGGCTGGTTCAGATCGGGATGCATATCTGAAGGGCAGGTGTATGTATCCAAGAGCTGTGTGCTGTCCATCCCTCTCGTTTATATATACCTGCTGATGCTGTACCATACATTATCATGAGGGGTGCTTGCCTGCCTGAACCTGAACGTAGGCATGAGCAAAAGGCCCGGTCCGACCCAACCCGGGATTTTGCCCGGGTCGGGTCAGGACCCTCTATGTCCTGGCCCGGCCGGGTCGAGTCGGGTCGGCCCGGGCATAAAACCCGACCCGACAGTGATAGGCGGGTCTGGTCGGGTCGGGTCGGGTTTCAGGCCGACTTCGACCCGACCCGAACTCGGGTCAAGAAACAGGTCGGGTCAGGCCCGACCCGAATTCAACACTGGGGGAAACCCTAGTCGATGTTGAGGGGTCAAATTTTCCCTTCGACATCTCACGCAAACAATTTTCGTAGCTTAAAACAGGGAAACCTAGAACGCTTTCTAGGAATCTACATAGCCCACTAACGCTCTACCTAACACTGCGTTCGAAAATACTAGCATTTAGGCGACATAAAACCGAAATTGGCCCCTTAGTAAGCGTTTAGGCAAAAGATTTAGGCATAGCTGTAAAAACAGGGCGCTGCATAGCAGCGTCACAGGTTTAGGGATTCAACCTCCGCGCTTTGAGCTTATGAAGCGCCAGGGGCTGTGCCAACACTGCACGTCACGCAGCGAGGGAGGGAACGGCGGGTTTCCCTGACACACATGGCCACTAATTAGGGCGGGTTTCCCTGACCCGACCCGACATCGGGCCAACCCGACCCGAGGCCGGGTCAGCCCTGACCCGACCCTGTACCCCCGGGTCGGGTCAGGGACTTCACCAGCTTGGCCCGGGTCTGGTCCAACCCGACCCAACCCGAGAATTCGGCTGGCCCGGCCAAGCTGGGTCGGGTCGGTTCAGGTCGGGCCGCCTGCTCATGCCTACCTGAACGTTCTTCCCTTCCCTGTATCTAAACTTGATGAGCTCAGGGAAATCACCATGAATGACCATGCAGATGGTTTAGTTGTCATGCCTATGCTGACGGGTTGGTGACTGATGCGAATCCTTGCATGTGGATCCTGAAAATAGCCCAATTGTCTTGGCTCACATGAAGGAGGGATTCAAGGGTTCGTGGTAAAGTATAGCTAGAGTGCACCTATTCCCCACCATGTCGTCGACTATCCACGTAAGCCTAAGTTGGAAAAACGCATATTCAAATTTGCGTATCGAGTTTATACGCATGCTTATAATGTTAAAATTCGCCAAAACTTGCTCGGGCTGACCGAAAAAAAAAGATGAGTTGACAATCCGGCGAACTCAAAATTTTGGTCTCGAAGTTCAGATCTGAGATTGCACATTGCGAATGCAATCCCAGATCTGAATCTCGAAATTGTTTCCACAGCTCAATAACCCACTCCATCCCCATCAATGACCAATCCCTTCCAGGTTTGTCGTAGACACATCAATGTTAGGTCAATTTTCCCTCGTTTTCTCACCCGCTACAATGACTTCCACTGCTAGCTCTCCCGTTTCATCTATTAACCTAGAACCTAACCTGCCCAAGCCAGCAAATTCTGTGCGTACCAGACCCCCTCCAGGCCAGCGTTCTGCCCGAGGAAAAAGTTTTTCCTGCCCGGGCAAGCGGATTCTAGTGCGTACCAGACCCCTTACAGCCAGCGTATTGCGTTTAGACGCTAGCGATTATTATACGAAAAGCGTACTAAACGCAATACGCGTTTTTTCCAACTTAGACGTAAGTGTGCGGGCAGCATCATATCCAGAAGAGGCATGCGCTCTTGGCAGACCGAAAAGGGTTTGAGTCGAGGTGGGAGAAGCCGGCTCCCTTTTTGAGGCACGAGGCGAGCCCTCAGCCTGACAGACATACCTGGTCCTGAGCCAGGTCGGCTCATGACGAGAGCTGCTCACTCACCCCTTCACATGGATGTTTCGCCTTGTCGGTCGGTCCGGGCAAATCATATCCAAGCAGAGCCGAGGAGCTGAGCTGCAATGCAAGCATGGCCACATTTTCTTGCCTATTCTATACGCTCGCCACATTCTTGCATGCATGCCCTCTGATGTTCTTTCATCAGATCCCTGCAGTACAGCGCGCTGAGTGGTACCATTCCGGATTCCATCAGCAAGCTTGCAAATCTCCGTACCCTGTGAGTGCCATGCTTTTCTGAGCTTTGTTTCAGATAGCAGGTGTGCATCCGAGAGGGCACATTCCAAGAGCCTGTGTGGCCTGGAACGTGCAGCTGCCTTGTTTTGCTCGCCTCGTGTTCCAGGCTCGGTTAGGGGGTTGTTGATGGTCCGGGACCATCCGACTCTTGCAGCTTGTAGAGCAGGCCGAACTTGAATCATCTCAAAACTCGGAAAACTTTAGAGATGGTCAACTGGGGCCGGCGACTAAACGAGGCAAATGCAAGTTTCGCTTGTTGTCTTGCTCATACTCTATCCATAACTCTCACCACCCCACATACATCATACATGCATGCCTTCCATCGTTCTCTTAACAGAAGCTTTTCGTACAACAGCTTGAGCGGCACAATCCCGGAGTCCATCGGCAAGCTTGCAAATCTCCGTAGCCTGTGAGTGCCATGCATCCCTCGGTTCACATTTTACCGACATCAGCACAGCCAGGCCACGATGCTCTTCTCACATGATGTTTTCCTAAATTTTTACGCAAGATGGAAATGTCCGAAATGAGCATGGTCATTTTCCCCTGTGCTATGCAACACAAACCGAAGAAATCTCGTTTTAGCAAAGAAACAGTGTGGATGTATCCACACAATCATGCAATGCCTATGAAGCTTGTGCCTTGAATTCAATCTCTCACATTTTCTTTCCACACATTCGCTGTTCACCCACTGCTCAATTCAAAGTCTCTGACACCTTAGCTCACACGTCACGTCACGGGTTCACGTCGAAACATCCCACCCCTTTTCAGTTCCCCATCTGCTACATAGTGTATCCAGAAAGATTGCCTTGCTACAGGTGTCGCCTTGATGGATTAACAAAGCCCAATGAGGCCACAGCTGTATATCTTCAGACACAGTTTTAGTGGAAATGGCTTCACTAGCCTTCTTCTTCAAGAGTCAGTCGTGCTGAGTGAAAGAATCAGAAGGGAGGCAGTAAGCTAAGTTGCCCTATGAAGCTGTTGGGCAGAAACAGATGAGCATGCCAGCGGAGGAGCCAGGGGTGGAGGGGTAGCCTGAGAATGGCTGCTGCAGGAGGAAGGGCTACTGCTGCTGCTGCTGCTGCTGCTGCTGCTGCTGATCTGGAGGGGGGATGGGGGGGGAGGTGGGGAGGAAGGCCTGCATCCGGTGCAGGAGGTGGGGGAGGCAGGTGGCTGGACAAGGTCTGGTGGAGCTGAGGGGGTGGCGGCTGATAGGCGGGAAGTGTGCGAACGTCCTGGACAGTGGGGCGAGGAGTGACAGTAGACCAACGAAGAGCGGTACCCGTGTTGGCCCGAGAAAACCACTCATCATTAAGGGCCTTGAAGCAGGTCTCAGTGGGATGAGTGGTTTGGTTGCAGCGTTGGCCTTTGTTGGGGCCATGTCGAATGGTGTAAGACGCAAGGGGGGGAACCCCCCCGCGTGGCCACCGCGACCAGCACCCCCTCCACCTCCCGACATCCCACCTGTAGCCCACCGCCAGCCCCTCCACCCTGGAGGAAGTGGCATCGAGCTCGCTCTGGAATTGATGCGGCCGATGGCTCGAGTGTCGGCGATGCACCAGGCGCCATGGCGAGATTTGAAATCGAGTATCAGAAGTGTACTCCGTTTGAAGGGAAGCGGCTGTGGTTTGAGCAGCAAGAGCTGCTTTGTGGGTATTCACAGATTGCGTGTGTGTCGCCACCTTCTTCGCGGAGATGGTGAGGCCGAGGCATTGGTGGTGATGCCAGACACGAGGCATTGGTGGTGATGCCAGACACGAGGCATTGGTGGTGATGCCAGACACGAGGCATTGGTGGTGATGCCAGACACGAGGCATTGGTGGTGATGCCAGACACGAGGCATTGGTGGTGATGCCAGACACGAGGCATTGGTGGTGATGCCAGACACGAGGCATTGGTGGTGATGCCAGACACGAGGCATTGGTGGTGATGCCAGACACGAGGCATTGGTGGTGATGCCAGACACGAGGCATTGGTGGTGATGCCAGACACGAGGCATTGGTGGTGATGCCAGACACGAGGCATTGCTGGTGATGCCAGACACGAGGCATTGCTGGTGATGCCAGACACGAGGCATTGGTGGTGATGCCAGACACGAGGCATTGGTGGTGATGCCAGACACGAGGCATTGGTGGTGATGCCAGACACGAGGCATTGGTGGTGATGCCAGACACGAGGCGAGGTGCTTCGCCGGGATGAGCCGGTGTAAATGGAGGTTCAAGTCCAAGGAAGGGAGGTGGTTCGGGCTCAAGGCCTTCTGGTTCAGCGAAGACGACGGAATGTAGATTAACTCTGCCCACGATGGTGGAGCGGAGGACACTGGTGAGGCTCTGTGATAACTGGTGCCAGTTCAGTGCGGTAATGAACCCGACGCACGGGTGCGGTAGTGCGGTAGTGCCGTCTTCGACCTCCAGGGCCGCGTGACTGGGAGGGGAGGGGCTGCGCGACTGGGAAGAAGGCCCACGTATGTCTGCAAGCAGAGGGCCTTGCGGTGTGGAGAAGGGAGAGCAGAGGGCCTCGCGAAATCCATGCAAAGGGCCGTGCGCCAGCTGGGTTCGGTCGTCGCGACGGTTCGGTAGGGCCGCGCGAGGAGCTAGGGAGGTCGTTGTGATGGTTGCGCGACTGCTAGGAAGGTGGTCGCGATGGTTTGGAGGGGCTGCGGCACTGCTGGAGAGGATGTCGCACGAGAGGAACGGACATTGATGAGGGCCACCGAGAAAGAGTCAAGTGGATTTACGGCTCTAGTACCTAAGGGCGTATGTGTTAGGCTCTCGATAACAAGAAAGAAATTAGCAATCTTAGAGGAGCTTAGAGAAGAGAAAGTTTCATGAGGGTTATACAAGATTGAGTTGGAGAGGAACACCAACCTAACAACTAGGCAAGAAGACCAACTTGCCTAGTCGGAGAGGTAAGTACAGACCAACCCTTAAAACCCCTCCTTGACCAACAAGGCTGGGGACCAACTTCTAGGTTGAAGATTTGGGTTCACCCCAATTAGAGTGGGACCCACTCTACACCCAATACTAGAGCATGCAGGTATAAATAGTTATAGCACTGAGTATGATGGCAGAAAGGAGACAGTGCTATAAAGTTCGCAACAATACTAGATTCAAACACGGTGTCCTCTGCTGCTCACTCAATGGTGTTATTGCACATGCGTGCAACATGATATTGAGTGCTGCAGCCGCAAGCATGCCTCATTGTCTTCTCACCTCCTACTCTCCCCCCACCAGGAACCTACAGTACAACAAAATTTCTGGCTCACTTCCTGAATCCATTGGAGAGCTCACACGGCTTGATTATTTGTGAGTGCGGTTTGTCATGTCATGGATGGGGTTGACATGCACGTCACAGCCAAATTCTGATTCAGGTTCTGTTCTGCCATGTGATATGCATTCACGCATTCGTGTTTGGTGTTCCTCTCCCTGTTTGACATCCCCATTGTCCAAAACGCAGCTGGCTTCTCAGTAACAACCTAAGCGGCTCGATACCAGTGTTTTTGAGCAGGCTTCGGTCTGTGACCTACTTGTGAGCTTCTTGAATAGAAGGGTTTGCACAGACCTTTCTCCGATTGGGTTGTATACAACCTTTTTTCTTTGTGGAAAATGGTTTAGTTTGAACTAATGAAATTTGAAGACTTTTATAAGTAGATAAGTTCTCTAGTTGGGTGAATGAAAGGCTTGTGGGTTGTGGCTTTGTGGGTTGTTGAAGGAAAGCGAGCTCAGCGGGCTTGACGCCATCTAACAGATCCAAAAGCATCTTTCTGATGTGCACATCTGGTCATTCCCACCCAGCTGGCTGTAGTTCGTTGACATGCCAATGCCTCGTCATGCTGGCTTCCGGCTCGGCTTCTATGAGCTTTAGTATAGCCCATCTTGAATCTGGCGCTTGGTAACCTCTCTCCACATGCGTAGCTTTTCCTGCCACATGCATGCACACCCTCTATTATCTCCCATCAGTAACTTGGGCTACAACAGCTTCACGGGCACAATTCCCGACTTCTTCACCACGCTTACTAATCTCGCTGGCTTGTAAGTGCCTTTCATTTTTTCTGGTGGACGAGTGAGCGATGATCAGCTGCCATCAATCAAACTCGCCTGTTCTTCTTCACTCTCCGCTAACTTGAATTTGACACTCACGTGTGCTTTGATTCTAAAAGTTAGGTCCTCGCTTGGCACTGGACGCTGTGTGTCTTGCTGTTTTTTTTCTTCTCCTCTTTACATTGTATGTTTGATTGTTTGTTTTCGTTTTGTGCGACCCGATTTGGACGCCAAATTTGTAACACAAGCACTCACTCAAAAGAAATGAGCGCATTTAAAATTTGAACCCAGCAAAAACTTTTCATCCGTAAATTCACAGCAGTATTCAATATCTCGTACGGTTGAGCATGGGACAGGCTGTGTGGGTAAGCCAGCTCTGCCATCAATTCGCCCGGGGGGGGCATCGATGGCCTGTGTCACAGCCCGCCAGTTGTTGTGGTTGGGCCGGGCCAATGGATTGGAACAATGGTGTGCACATCACATCAGAGTCCGCCAGTTGTTGTGGACCGACCCAGGTAAAATGTAATGGGTCAGCATGTTTTGTGAGACTCCCATAGTTGGGATGTACCGCTGAACCTGCCGTACCCTGCTAAACAAAGAAAAATCATGGCAGTGGTGCGCATGGTGAGTCAAACACTTCTCTGTTCAGTTCGTGTTACCTACTGTTTGACCCTTAGGGACTCAAAGTGAACGTGTTCGGTTCGTGCCAAGTATGGTTCGAGCCAACTAGGGTTTCAACAGTGTTCGAGACGAACACGTTTGTGTGCAACGTTTGCTCATCCCTAGCCCCGCCTTAGGCACATCACGAGCCTCCCCAGCTTGTCACCTAATGGATGAGCCATGAGCCGACATGGGACGATTTCCGCAGCTCCGTAGGCGGCCGTTTTTATGAGATGGCAATGTTTGGCTCATGATGAGGCTGCCACTGGCTGCACACTGTTCACGCCTACCTGAATCTCCTCATGCCACCCTCCCTATTCTGTTGCAGATTTCTCCATTCTAACAAGTTGATCGGGCCAATACTACCAGGACTGAGCAACCTTCACGTGTGTAGAGACTTGTGAGTAAACTGTTAAATTTCAAGTTTTGAATTATACTTATGTTTCATATTCTTTTTCATGGGTTTTCTGAGAATTGATCCCACTTTGTTGTCCTCTGCTTGCTCGTTCTGCCATCATTTTTCTAGTTGCCTATGCATGTTTTGTTGTGATTGGTTGAGCAATGCTTTGGTCCAAAATCCGTTGATAACTTGAACACTTGCATCCCTTCTTTCTGTTACTCTGATTCTGTGAGAATTATTAAAGGGACTTCGCGTGTTTTCTTTCCCATACGCTATGCATCACTGTATGATACGCTCTGCATCGCTGTATGATACGCTATGCATCACCGTATGATACAACATGCATCACTGTATGATACGGTATACATCACTGTATGATACGCTATGCATCACTGTATGCTACACGCACATGCTCCAAGCTTGATTAGCTCAGTGTAAACGGTATAGAAAAAGATGGGAGTGCATAAATTCTGTACCCGTTGAGTGTTCTATAAGTAGTCTTCACAAATCAATCTGGCTCAAAGATGGGAACACTGTAAGAGGCAAATATTTGTAGCCTCTTCTATGGTTTTTTTTTTTTGGGCAGAACAATGCCTCTTTGCAGACATTGTTACTCCGCCCAATTGTCATCGCCACACCGAGACGTGCAACATATCATGCATCCACCACATGCTAGGGTTGAGCAAAAAATCAACTACTTTACTCAAACCAAGCAGGTTTTTTTTGCCCAAAACTGTTCAGTCGCACTCATGCAACACACTCATGCTCGCACTCATGCATGACGCTGCAAGTATTTACTCGACGCATTAGCTCATGCATACACCAGAGTCTGGGGCCGCATATTTACAGCAAACTGCCAGTTTTGACCACATCTGGTGGTGAGATGTTCTGCCACTATTACCAAGTCTGGCTGACTCAACTCAGCCGAATAAAACAAATAAAGAAAAATAAGATGCTCGTTTCGTCACTTATGAGTAAAAGAAAGAGCAAGTCAACGTGTTACTTGACTTGTTTACTCATGTCTATCACATGGAGTACTCTCACCACATGCACTACTCTCACCACATGCACTACTCTCACCACATGCACTACTCTCACCACATGCACTACTCTCACCACATGCACTACTCTCATTTACCGCATATATGCCCCTCCCGTCCATCCATTGCTGCCTCATCCCACCTAGGTACCTTCACGGCAACATCTTAACAGGGCCGATTCCTGACTCCATTACCAAGCTCTCAACCCTTCGTGTCTTGTGAGAGCCATTCCTACTTAGATTGACATGGTGTGAGTGCCATTCCTCCTTGGGTTGACAAGGGAGCCACACTTCACATCACAGCACACCCTGCAAGCTCAGTCTCAGGCTGCAAGTTTGCACTTCGTGTGCTACGTAGGTAGCTGCATGTAGGTGATGTTCACAAGAACGTGTTCTTTAAACCTTTTACTTGAAGTAGACGTCAGCAAACAAGGCAATAAGTATTGCTTGCACTGAGGATCTGCCCGAAATGTCATGTAAGAAGACTCGTGCTAAGTTTTCTCATACTGGCACTACAAGTGAGTATTGCACTGCCCATTCCTGTACCAATCTCCCAGACCCCCCCCCCCACCCTCTCCCCCTAACCTCCTGCTTGTCCAACTCAACCTGGGCCAAGCTGACTCAACGTTTTCCTTCCCCCACCCCTAGGATACCCACCTTATTTGTTGCAAATGATTTCGTTCAATCATTTACAAAATGCCAATGATGGCATGGCGTTTTTGCCTTTTCGGGATCATCAGGGCGAGACTTGGCTGTTTTTCTTGGCTGTTTTTTGTTCTAGCTTACTCGCTTTTGTTAGCTAACGAAACAAAAAACAAGTATGCACTCGCCTCTAATGGTCATGTCTACCGTAAGCTCCAAAAGTAGTGACCAACAAAACCCAGACTGGAATGTCAACAACAAAGGAAACCAGAATGATATTGGCACTCCTTATCCGTTCCTCCAGTACCAGATTGTGCATGCAGAACCTATTTTTTGATTGCACCATTGCACAGTGCATTGATGTCACTACATGCATGTAGGTAGAACCTATTAGGCATCAGCAAAGTGCTGAGTCATGGCCCAACCCTCCACTTCAATTCAAGCCCAGCAACTTGTATCTCGACCTTTTAATCTCTTATCTTATACAACCCAATGACATGAAATGCAGTTACGCTCAACGAAACAGACTGACTGGGTCAATACAAGAAGGAATCGGAAAGCTTCAATATCTTCTTATCTTGTGAGCCTCATGATTCACGAGCTGGATGATAATACTTTGTTTTGTAGGCTTTCTTATAGATGTTTGGTTTCACCTGATTTGACTTACCCATGCCACATTAATATTATGAGTGATTGTCCTCTTGCTCACTCCTTCACACACTTACATTTCCTGTTTCTACCTACTTGCTTGTTTATGCATGCTGCACTTACCTTTCTATCCTTCACCAGGAATCTACACAGCAATCGCTTAACTGGATCCATTCCATCCACTATTGGCCGCTTGACCAGCCTGACAGAGTTGTGAGTAATATTAGAGTGAGAAGTGCTAGAGTTACACACGGTGCTCTAGTCATTTTAAAATTGCGACTACTTGATACTGATCGACATTACTAAAATGTCGGGTATATATGAGCCAAATCTTTGAATAAAAATGCGACTCTTTCTATGAACTCGACATTGGGTCGTCTGATTAAGTCGATTCCAGAAATCGTGAAGCTGTTTTTTGCTCGAATCGAATTGGTTCTACTCGACTCTTCTCACCCTTGACTCGAGGAGGCTTCAGCATATGGCCCGGGCGGGTGGGGTTGATCCCAACTCGACCCGGCTATTTTGCCGGGCCCGGTTGGCAAGGCGGTGATGCCAACCCGGGCGTGTCGGGTCAGTTTTCCCAGTTAGATCAGGTCGAACCGTTACCCGATTTTAACAAATTATGCCAAGTCGGGCCGGCCGATATTCCCGAATCGACCCGACCCGTATGCAGGTCGTATAGGTTATATTGTCGCACACCTGCACTAGGTGGGGGAGTATGTGCTCAGGGCTGAAGGCTGGTGCGAGGATTGGGCTGGGCTCAGTAGAGAGTTTTGTAAAACGGTGTGGGCGGGCTGGGTTTTGTAATGTCCGTGCAGCGAAGAGTGATAAGGGGCGGCAAATTGGTTGAGACATTTTGTTTTAACAATTTTGTTGGAGAAGGAGGGAGTGCCAGGCTTTGCTTGTGGCACGATGTGAGTGCAGTCAAGTCAATGACACGATCGACAGGCAAGATCCCCATTCTGCACAGATCGGCAGGCGAAGTGCGTTGATCAGTGCGGATCGGCGGGCGAAACTGCAGTTCCGCACAGATAGTCTGATGAGCGCGTATTGAAACCTGAATCGGTGCCGGGTTGCCCCGAACCGTCTCCAGGTCGACCCCAACCCATCCCTTACGTGCTTGCTAGTGCTCTTAGAACAAAGGATTGGAGCTTTTTGCAATTTCTCTTCGAGTGCAACACATACGAAGTGATTCACGATTTCAGTTTGAGACATGCATACAAGGCGATCATATTTATAGCAAATGAATAACATCGAACCGCGCATGTAACACGAACCGCTACACTCGCGTCGCGAATGCGAATGTCCCTTTGTCTCGAATGTTGCCACGTGGCACTGGAATAGAGGGTCTTTTGAAGTCAACCTTCAAACCTTCGCCAACCTGAAGCTCACCCACACGGTGAGCACCGAAACACATACAGTGGGTTGGGGCATACAACCGCCCCACCACCGTTTCCCTCCAACAGTTCGGTTCGGGTCGGGTCACAACCCTACCTGTGACGCCGACCCAGACGTGTTGGGTCGGATCGGATTGACCCGTTACCTGCATAATGTGTTTCAGGCCTGGTCGGGGTGGCCCAATCCCGATATTTATGTTCCCAATGAAGATCAATTAAACGAACAGCTATGTTACTCATTGTAAATTTAAGAAGCTTGGCGAATCTATTCACCTGTATGCTGAGCTCTTCCTTGCATGCCTTTCTCTCACCAGAGTCCTTCACAACAACAGCCTGGACGGAACGATTCCCGACACCATTATGAGAACTTCCAGTCTGGTGGATTTGTGAGTAGTAAGCGTTTTTACATTTACGTCTGAGCCACCCATGGCTTATATTTGAGCTCTGTGCATGTTTTGCCATCAGGTATGTAGTGTTTTGATGCATTTTTTCACCCACTAAAATGGGCACAGAAGAAGGAAAGAGTAGGAAATTGATGGATTGTTTTTTTCGAGGTGTCCATGTGCACTTGGAATGCTGCATGCTGCCTGTATATTCTTTGTATTGTTTTTTTCCTGTTCCAGACAAAATTTGGGCTTTGACATTTCTTCCACCCTCTTCTCTCAACTCAACTGCAGACGCCTTGGTGGAAACAAGCTGTTGGGATCGATACCAGGGGCGATTGGCAACCTTACAGCCTTGACAAGACTGTGAGCCTCTAATTTTCAGAAACCATCGATATCGTCGCGCATCACCATTAAGGATATAGTTTTCGTTGAAAATTTCCTCTTCTTGGATTTGTATACATGACGTTACTTTGTATGGGTTTTCTTGTTTGCTCGTGTTTAGAAAAAAACACTGACCACCATGACATGACGTACATGATCAGGTGGGGTGTTTGAGCAAGCTACTTCATATACATGACGTTACTTGATATGCTGTTCGAGCTTTTAAACTCATCAAGGACTCTGTACAAACTGGGTAGATAGAGAAGAAAGTGTACAAGACTACCTCGCTTCTTTACAGTACTGCTATCCGTTTATGGTTGTCCTGTCAGATCCCTTGCCAACAATAGCCTGAGTGGCACAATCCCTGACTCCATTGGCAACATTCCAACCCTCGCTTCCTTGTGGGTACCTTTTAAGCTTCAAGGGACTTCACTTCATTTTCTACCTGTACACACATGCACGCACACTCGCACATACACCTCTTCACTGCTTGTTAATGTCAACGGGAGTTGGGTGTTGGCCCCGTCCTCGCTTGGGCGGAGCCGACTTCGTGGTCGGGTGTAGGGTGCAGCCGACCTGCAGCAGTGGGCGAGTTGGTCGACGAGGTTGGTCGACCTGCACGGGGAGCCACTGCATGGGCGCCGACTTCAGGGGGGCGCCACCTTTGGCTGGTCGACCTGGGAAGTCGACCAATCTCTTCTGGTCGGCCTGGGACGTCGACCAGGAGTGACGTCGACCTAGATCTGGTCGACCAGGGAGTAGTGGTCGACCTGGGGAGGTCGACCGAAAGTGGTCGTCGACTTGGGAGGTCGACGGGCATGCACGGGAACGGCTGGTCGACCTGGTTGCCCGGTCGACCAGGTTACCTGGGTGACGAGGTGCTGCGAAGGCTTGCGAAGGTCGCCCAGGTGGTTTTGGCGAGGACGACCTCGGTGATGGTATCCCGAGGTCGACGTGGTGCATCAGATGCAGTCGTCAGCACGAGGTGGACTTGGTGTGTGCGCTGTGCAGGTGACGAAGCAGTGCACGCCAATCATCTACGAGCACCTGCGAAGCGGGTGCGATGCTGGACTGCAGGAGCAACGCTGGCACGCCGTCGACTTGCGCTGTTGTCATGCCGTCGACCTGCAGCGTTGGCAAGCCGCGTCTCTGCACTGCTAGAGCGCGGTCGACCAAGTCGTGCTGGCACGCGGTCGACCGTGCTGCACTGGCAGTCGACCTGCTTGCATCCTAGCTCTGATGTAGTCTTGCCTAGCCAACTTCATTGTATCATTGTTGTCAACTTTCTCTAGTGAAACTCTTGCCAAATTTCCCCGTGAACTAGCAAGCAGTGTATGCACTAGGAAAACGACTAAGGAACAGAGAACGCAGAGATCACACGAGCATCCGTGCCTAGCCCGTAGTCTAGCTCCCGTTACTAGAGTTATCTCCGCATGGTGCGGTGAGCGTGGACGGCACAACGACTTACCTTTCAGTCTAGTCGACTTAGTAGGCACCTTACCTAAGTTGTTCGTAGGCCGGCAGCTGTGCGATAGTCACTATGGTAGGAGCCGTAGGTGACGCGGGGGTGGTGGACACCCTGGAGGCACAGCTGGAGGACGCGAGGAGGAAGCACGAGGCCAACGAGTATGGCGACCTGCCGTGGGCGGTCGTCGAGGCTGGCATCCGTTCCTTGTGGGCGACGGAGCACCCTTCTCGGCCTGCTTCTCCTCGACCGGTGAACACCGAGGGCGGCGTCGACGTGGGCGTCAACGCCGGAGGCGACCAAGTCGGCAGCAGTGCGGGAGGCACGTCGAGGCAGCGTGGTGTGATTCACGCCGACGAAGTCGGCGGCGTTCAAGGGCGAGGGGTTCGGTCGACGTCGGCTGCGGGCACCTCGCAGGGCGACGTCGGAGGTCGACGAAGCAGGTTGACGCCGATGTCGGCGTCCCAGGTGACGGCGGGCGGAATTGCGCCGAGCTACGGCTACTTCAAGTTCACGCCGGATAGGATCTCGGTGACTCCCCCGCTGGTTGGTCGACCCGACATACTCACCTGGAAGGAGGCCATCGAGCCCCAGCTGGAGATGGCCGGGCTGATCAGCTTTGCTCGAGGCACCGTGGCGACGCCGGGCGACCCCGAATTGCGAGCTGAGTTCCGCGCCGTGCAGCTGTTGACCTTCACGGTCATCTCGCGGTGCTGCACGCCGGGCGTGCAGATCGCCCTGAAGTGGTGCAGGGAGTACCTCGACGCCGGCCACCAGGCGTGGCACTTCATTGAGTCGACCTACCAAGTCACCGACGACCTGTTCATCGCCCAACTGGAAGGGCAGCTGACTCACCTGCACATGGCCGACGAGGAGACGGCGACCGACTACTGCAACCGAGCCCGGCGAATTCTCGCCACCATCAGGATGGCCGGTGCGGAGTACTCGACGGCGTCGTACATCACCCATGTCATGCAGGGGCTCCGGAGCAGCTACAACTTGCTGAAGCGGCTGTCCATGGCGCCGAGCACAAGGGCGACGCTCAACGAGGACAACTTGACCTCGTACATCCTGCAGGACGAGGCGATGCAGGAGGCTGAGCGGTCCCAGGAGCTCTTGGCGCAGGCAAACTTTGTCGCCCCAGATAAGCAAGGCGGTCGACCGGGGCAGCGTGGACAGTCGGGCGGCGGTGGTAGCGGTGGCTCGAAGTCGGCCAAGGAGGTCGACAAGAAGAAGTCGACCAAGGACAGTGGCCGGGGAGGAGGAAGTCGACGTCGGGAGTGCTGGCTGTGCGGCGACCCCGACCACCTCTCCTTCGAGTGCCCCGACCGCAGTGACTCGGACGACGACGACAAGGGAGGCCGCGGGAGGTCTGGCAGTCGTCGATCTCGTCGAGGAGGAAGTCAGCCGCGCAAGGAGAAGCAGTCGACCAAGTCGTCGACCTCGGCGAAGGACGCCGACTCCTCTGCTAGCGGCAAGGGGAGCAACGACAAGTCGGCGTCGTGCTCCCTGGTCGGCGTCGTGGAGCCGACCGTCTCACTGGCGCCGGAGGCCGGAGAGGATTTCCAGGCGATGGCAGCAGCGGTGCAGGCGAACCCGGCGGTGGTCTTGCTGGACAGCGGCTGCTCCCACCACCTGATGGGGACCAAGGACGCCTTCGTCGACCTGGGGCCGAGCGGCGACGTGAAGCACGTGCGTGGCTTCAATGGGGCGCTGCAAGACGTCCAGGGCCGGGGCACGGTCGCCCTGCAAGGCGAGGCCGGAAAGCAGGTACTCATCCCCGACGTGCTGTACGTCCCGGGTGTGCGGGCGAACCTGTTGTCGTCTGGCCAGCTGAAGGAGCACGGCGTGAAGTTTCGGGAGGACGGCGATGGAATGCTGCTTGTCTCGGCAGCAGGGGAGGTGCTTGGTCGGGCGACGTACTCCGGGCGAGTCCTTTGCACCGACCTGCGTCCCTGCTCAACGAGGTCGACGTCGCCCACGCCGGAGGTTGTGGCCCTGCGGGCGATCGTCTCCAAGTCGAAGTCGACGCCGGCCAGGATGCATGCTCGGCTTGCGCACGCCGGCATGGACACCATCAGGAGCTCGGCGAAGAACGAGGTCGCCATTGGGCTGGACCTCAAGTCGGCGACGGGCACCGACTCACCGTGTGTCTCGTGCGTCGGTGGGAAGCTGGCGAGGCACACCTTCCCCGACCAAGGCTCCGACGCCGCCGACGTGCTAGCCGTCGTCCACATCGACTTGTGTGGGCCATTCCGCGTGGCTGCCAAGGATGGCAGCCTGTACTTCCTGCTGCTGAAGGACCGCAAGACCCGCTTCGTGTGGGTGAGGCCGGTTGCCAAGAAGTCGGATGTGCTGCTGGAGTTCCAGAAGTGGCTGGTGCTGGTGGAGAGGCAGACGAAGAAGTCGGTGCTGATGCTGCGCTCGGACCGAGGTGGGGAGTTCCTCGGGAAGACGTTCACCGACTTCGTGGACGGCAAGGGAATCGTCCACGACCTAACCTGCCCCTACACCCCGCAGCAGAACGGCATGGCGGAGCGGGAAATGCGGACGGTGGTGGAGTCGGTGCGGACGATGCTGCTGCACATGGGCGTGCAGCACCACTGGTGGCACCTCGCTCTACGGCAGGCCGTCTGGATCCGCAACTGCTTGGAGCGGTCGGCGACGCCGGGGACGACGCCATACCAGCTGCTGACCGGGACGAAGCCCGACTTGTCGCTGGCGCGCATGTGGGGCTGCATGGCGCAGTTCCTCGTCCCCGAGCAGCAGCGGGGTGGCAAGCTGAAGCCGAAGGCCAAGTGGGGCCTTCATCTCGGCGTGTCGGAGGCGAGCAAGGGCTGGGAGCTCCTCGACATTGCCGCCAACCGGGTGGTCACCACGTCGGACGTGGTGTTCTACGAGGACCTCTCGTTGGAGGAGTGGAAGTCGGAGCATGGGCCGGTGTCAGGGCGGACGCTAGTGTCCACGCCGACGGATACCTCGACGGCAACGCTCCCTCTACTCGCCGAGGTCGGTGAGCTTGCTGTGGACGACGCCGAGGTCGACCACCCTTCCTTTCCCTCCCCTGCCCCTCCCCTCGTCGACCTTCGTGGGCTGACTCCGTCGTCGGCCTCCGGCGATGAGGGGAGCAGTGGGACGTCGCCTGTGGCGCCGACCAAGGGCATCGCCGGTGGCCGACAGGACGAGCAGCAGGTCGACCTGGGAGTGCAGTCGACCTGGATAAGGGGGGAGCAGGTCGAGGAGGTGCAGCCGACTTGGGTGAAGCCGGCAGGGGAGCAGGCAGCAACGAGGTCGACCCAGGAGCAGTCGGCGACCTGGCGGTCGACAGGGGAGCTGACCACAGGGGAGCAGTCGACCGGGAAGCCAACCGAGGTGCAGCAGGGCAACGAGGACGGCAGTGAAGATGAAGGGGAGCAGTTGGGCGACGAGGAGCTGGTCGACCAGGAGGTGGCCGACCAGTCCACCGACCATGACGCGGTGGGGGTTCCGCCTGAACCCCGGAAGTCAGGTCGACTTCGGAGGCCTCCCGACTTCTTCATCCCGGCTGCCTTCACCACGGTGTACGACGTGGAGGACGACGACGACATCCTGTACGACGACGCCGACGAGGACGAAGAGTTCCCGGAGCTCGACCCCGACATGCTGGCCGACCCCGAGCACCGTTGGGACATCTCGACGATGACGGTGAAGGAGGCGCTGGCGAGCTGGAAGGGCCCGGCGGTGAAGGCCGCCATGGAGGAGGAGATCCGCAGTCTCCTCGCCATGGGCACGTGGGAGCTGGTCGAACGCCCGCCGGGAGTAAATGTCATGAAGAACCGGTGGGTGCTGACGACGAAGTACAACATCGACGACACCGTCGAGCGGGAGAAGGCGAGGCTGGTCGTGAAGGGCTTCACGCAGGTGTACGGCGCCGACTACGACGAGACGTTCGCGCCGGTGGGGAGCTACGTGACGCTGAGGATCTTCCTCAGCATCGTCGCCGTCCTCAACCTGAACCTGATGCAGCTCGACATGAAGAACGCCTTCCTGCAGAGCAAGCTCGACCGAGTGCTGTACATGTCGCAGCCGGACTACTTCAACGACGGAACCGGCCGGGTGTGCAAGCTGCTGAAGAGCCTGTACGGGCTGAAGCAGTCGCCGCTGCTGTGGTACTTGGCGCTCAACGACGTGCTGGTCGGCGCTGGGTGGAAGAAGAGCCAGGTCGACGAGGCCCTCTACTTCAAGGTCGGCGACGACGGAGCGACTTGCTGGGTGCTGGTCTACGTCGACGACCTGCTCGCCGCCAGCAGCAGCCCCGAGATGCTGAAGCAGCTGAAGGAGCTACTGGAGGCCGCCTTCGAGCTGCGCGAGATCTCGCCGGTGCAGAAGTACCTCGGGCTGGAGATCGTGCGCGACAGGTCGGCGGGGAAGCTGTGGCTGCACCAGCAGGGCTACGCCGACAAGCTGCGTAGGCGCTTCATCGACGAGGAGCAGGGCGGACGGACTCCGAAGACGCCGGTCTCGGTCGACGCCTACGCCGAGCTCACCTTCGACGACGAGGAGGCACAGGAGCGACAGGAGGAGGAATACCGGCAGAAGGTCGGCTCGCTGCAGTTCGCGGCGACGACGACGAGGCCGGACATCGCCTTCGCCTGCAGCAAGCTGGGGAGCGGCCTCACGGTAAGGAGCGACCAGCACTGGCGCAAGGTCGACCGCTGCCTCGCCTACCTCGCCAACACGCGTGACACCGCCCTGGAGTTCGGCGGTGGACCTGAGTCGCTGGAGCTGGTCGGCTACGTGGACGCCGACGATGCCGGTGACAAGCAGAGCAGGACGAGCACGGGCGGCTACGTGTTCGTCTACGGAGGGGCCGCAGTCTCCTGGTCGAGCCAGCGCATCAAGTGCGCGACGCTGTCGTCGACCGAGTCGGAGTACGTGGCGGCCGTCGAAGCCGGCAAGGAGGGACGCCGACTTCGCTTCCTCCTCGCAGAGTTCCAGCAGCTGGATGCTGGGAAGCCGACCGTCCTTCGGGTGGACAACAAGTCGGCCATCACAATCGCCGAGGGCATGGGGTTGACGGGCAACCTCAAGCACATGGAGCGGCGACAGGCCTGGCTGCAGCACATGGTGAAGCGGGGGAAGTTTGCGCTGCAGTACATCCCGACCGCTGAGCAGCCAGCTGACTTCCTCACAAAGGCGCTGCACTATCCGGCCTTCAACCGGTGCTCCGTCGCCATCGGCCAAGTGTGTCTGGCCGACGTGGGCGGCGGCGACGACGACGTGCAGCAGTAGGTGCCATGCCCTCCTGCATGGCTGGTGCGGTGGACGACGTGCTGTGTGTTGGGTGCACGTCGACGAGCTGTTCTCCGAGCAGTGCTGCCGTAGGGGCTGGAGGCCCAAGCGTGAACGCGGCAGGGGAGTGTCAACGGGAGTTGGGTGTTGGCCCCGTCCTCGCTTGGGCGGAGCCGACTTCGTGGTCGGGTGTAGGGTGCAGCCGACCTGCAGCAGTGGGCGAGTTGGTCGACGAGGTTGGTCGACCTGCACGGGGAGCCACTGCATGGGCGCCGACTTCAGGGGGGCGCCACGTTTGGCTGGTCGACCTGGGAAGTCGACCAATCTCTTCTGGTCGGCCTGGGACGTCGACCAGGAGTGACGTCGACCTAGATCGGGTTGACCAGGGAGTAGTGGTCGACCTGGGGAGGTCGACCGAAAGTGGTCGTCGACTTGGGAGGTCGACGGGCATGCACGGGAACGGCTGGTCGACCTGGTTGCCCGGTCGACCAGGTTACCTGGGTGACGAGGTGCTGCGAAGGCTTGCGAAGGTCGCCCAGGTGGTTTTGGCGAGGACGACCTCGGTGATGGTATCCCGAGGTCGACGTGGTGCATCAGATGCAGTCGTCAGCACGAGGTGGACTTGGTGTGTGCGCTGTGCAGGTGACGAAGCAGTGCACGCCAATCATCTACGAGCACCTGCGAAGCGGGTGCGATGCTGGACTGCAGGAGCAACGCTGGCACGCCGTCGACTTGCGCTGTTGTCACGCCGTCGACCTGCAGCGTTGGCAAGCCGCGTCTCTGCACTGCTAGAGCGCGGTCGACCAAGTCGTGCTGGCACGCGGTCGACCGTGCTGCGCTGGCAGTCGACCTGCTTGCATCCTAGCTCTGATGTAGTCTTGCCTAGCCAACTTCATTGTATCATTGTTGTCAACTTTCTCTAGTGAAACTCTTGCCAAATTGCCCCGTGAACTAACAAGAAGTGTATGCACTAGGAAAACGACTAAGGAACAGAGAACGCAGAGATCACACGAGCATCCGTGCCTAGCCCGTAGTCTAGCTCCCGTTACTAGAGTTATCTCCGCAGTTAATTCACTCTCAACAAGTTTGCAGTACGTGGTAATCTTTAAACTATCTGTGTGCACATTAATGTTTTGCACCTGTACACACTGTCGCTTAATATGAATAGAGTTGTTTTCCTCAGTTTTGCTGCTTCCATTTCGTTTTTGTGCCTTCACATCATCGCTGTCCTTCCTCACTTTCATGATTATATTTCAGGTATCTCAGCAGAAACAAACTGACAGGAACAATACCAGCAACATTAGGCAACTTTCAATTCCTGACCGACTTGTAAGCTTTACTTGTGGAAGGTGTACATGAATTACCATATGCTGTAGCCGTAGTAAGTTAGGGCTCGTGAAGCCCTGATGGTTCTTGTCTTCCTAAGTTAGGGCTCGTGAACCTTCAGAGAAGGTTACTCTCGATCGATGGGCTTGTCATTGGAAGTCGTGACGAAAGCGGAGACTCTGGAATGCCATGTGGTGGAGGAGCGAGGGAAAAATTGACGAACAGATATGCGCAGTTCACTTGGCCATTCATATTCGGTTTGTATTTGTCCTTTTTCTTGAAACTCAAACATCATGTTCATGCCAAGCTGCTCGTTTACAGGCTTAGCAATCCTTGAGAAACACCACTAGCTAGGCAACCACCCAGCTCGACTTGTTCCAAGCCGACTCAGTGGGACTCAAATGACAGAAGGGTCTTCCTCGCTCTCATCCGCCCTGCGTTGCATGAATGCTTAGGCACTGGAGTGACCTATACACTTATAACTAGCACAGCATACAAACTGCCTTCCTGTATTTCCCCCAATTGAATATCCCTCTCCATGCCCCGCGTGCTTCATGCTTCTCCGTTCTCAGAGATTTGTCATCAAATGGCTTGACAGCATCGATTCCATCCACCATCGGACGCATCAGCACCTTGGCATACTTGTGAGTACTGTGATACTACTAAGTACCATTCTGGCTGTACTTCCATGCATTGTAAGCTGTCCAATGAATGTTGTCCGATGTATCACATAAATTAATGCTTGGACAATGCATTTACTCAAGAATGAATGCTTTAACAATGTAGCTGACAAGAGTACCAGCCGTAGGTAGGCTTAAGCAAAAGGCGAACTCCAACAAATGCTTGTATACCCCAGCAAACCGTTCGGTTGGGTCGAACCAATTCCATAAATGTAGAGTTTGAGTGTTCGACTGGACAGTCGAACACCATTGAGTTTTGATAGAACACACAAGTGCTTGACTCGAACTCGGACGTGGTCGGGTTTGAGTGACCATTCGTCATTGTCACACTCTGTTATTCCCTTACCCCTAACTTCTATTTCGCACATCCCTTGTTTCCACTCAAATTTGATTGCAGGACCCTTCTCTCCTCGAAATCAATTCTATGCAACCTTCTCACCTAACTTCACTTGCTCACATCACCTCCCCCTCCCAATCCCCCACCATCCTTGTGATTCCTCATTTCACGAACCGTCTAGTCAATTCCCGTCAAGTAGGTATGAGCAGAATTCTGAACCAGGTTCGGCCTGGGGCGAACCGGTTCGGTTTTCACCTAGGCCGAGCCTCGAGTGTAAGCTGTCGTGCCGGGGTGGGCCGAACTGGCTTCGCCCGCCGAACCGTAATATGTTTGGATTTGACCCCATCGGGTATTACCCAGGCCGGAACAGTTTTCCCCGCGCAGCGGCCCAAGTCCGTACAATAGGTGGCCGAAATGGCATGGATTGGGCCCGCCCATGGGCCCTTTTACACCCGCGCGTCAAAAGTTGGAGTTCATTTTTGCGCTCCAACTTCAACTAATGTCTTTATCACCTAGGCCACAATTTAGGGCCACCTATTGCCGCCTGATGTCCTATATCACCTTGTTCAATTCCTATCGTGTGTGCAGGAACCTCTCGTTGAACTCACTGTCTGGTTCCATGCCAAGCTCGTTCGCGCGCCTTGCGGGCTTGCAAATTCTGTATGTTATCAATTGCAATTCAAACATTGTTCCATGCAGTTTCCTGCTTTTGATTTCTGGATGATTGTTCCTTCATTGATGAGTCCTTCTTCTCCACCTCTTGAACCCTGCCAAATGCATGCCTTGTGACGTCCTGTCATTAGAGACCTAGCCAACAACAGCCTGTCAGGCAGCATCCCCCAGCTTATAGGCAGCCTTAACCAACTCTCCAACTTGTGAGTGCTCGTTTCTTAAAGGCGGCAGCTCTATTCCAACTAGTCTTGTCCGAGCCACAGAAAAATGGTTGCCTCATAGATCGTCGCTCATGTCTGGGCGATGGGTGCACTGACCCACCAGTGCAACATGCCCTTGTACCCCAGTCGCTTACAGATCGGTGTTTTTGACAAAACTGGCAATAGAGATTATTGCATTCAGCTGTGTGCCATGCAGTGTTCTTCTAGCCCTATGAGAGGGATCTCTCACAGGAACGAGCCCCACGCAGTGACTCCTTCAGGTGTATGTTGTGCTCACTTGCTTCCCCACACACAGGAATGTGAGTGGAACTGGCCTTACCTGCCCTGGTGACAACACCCCATGCGTGGCGCAACAGCAAGCTCAAAGCGCCTTTTGCCGCCACTGCCCCTCCTTCTGCACCACCTGCGTCAAGACAGCACCCCGTGAGTCAAACCGTTTTGCTCTGTCGTCCCCTTCCCTGATTTGCCTCTGTACACAGCATCAGCAGTGTTTCTGCTCTTATTGGACTGCAAAATCCACGTTGAGTCGGCACATGTCCATCCCTTCCCCTCCCATGTCCATCCCCTCCCCTCCCATATACATCCCCTCCCTTCCCATGCCCATCCCGCACCTTGCCTCGTCCAGCGCCCACCTCCCCATTGCCAGGGAACACGACAGCGCCCCCATCCTCCCCCATTGCTTCCCCAGCGCCACCCCCCTCGCCTGCAACCTCCACCTCCCAGTCCAACGGCCTGTCAGCAGCAGCCATTGCTGGCATTGTTGTGGCTGCTGTGGCTTCCCTGCTGCTGCTGGTGGTTGGGGGGCTGCTATGCTGGCGGAATTACTCAAAAGGGAGAACGCAAGAGGAAGCGAGAGCAGATAAGGAAAGCGGGGATGCAGTCCTACGAGTGAAAGCGGATTTAGAAGGTGAAAATACAAATCTTCAGATTTTTGCCCTTCCTCTTCCTTCATACATCTACTTTTCCTCAAAAGGTCGCTAGAACACGAAAATCGTCAAACATCCTGTGCTCGTCAAACATTCCCTTATTGAGCAGGTCTGGCGGGCAGCGTGGCGGCGTGGCACTGCACGGAGTACTCCCTGGAGGAGGTGCTCACAGCCACGAGCAACTGGGCGAGTGACAACCAGCTGAGGTCGGGCTCCTTTGGTGACGTGTACAAGGGCGTGTCTCCGCGCGATGGCACCACACTGTGGGCCGTCAAGCGAGCCAAGCTGCTCCATGCTGACTTTCAGCGGGAGGTGCGTGATCATGTGCTGTGCATCATGGAACTTGCAGGTAAGTAACCTATATAATCAAATACACAAAAAAAGGCAAGTAAAGTACTGTGGTCTGCTTTGCCATGGTGCTTCTATGACTGATTTAGCTCTCTGCCATTTTGAAGGAGATTGTACCGTCCACATGGTTCCGACATTTAAGTAAGCATTTGATCCAAGTTCTCAAGTGCTGGTCTTTCAACCCATCCTATGATTGGTTGCTCCTCTTGCAGGTCCAGCAAATGGCCGACAAGAACCATCCCAACATTGTTCGGCTGCTGGGGTTTGCTGTTGGAGGGGACATGAGGACGCGGCCGGAGCAAGTCTTGATCTATGAGTTTGTTCCGAATGGTGACCTTGAGATGTGGATCAGTGCAGGTATGTAACTCTCAGATGGCTGTCGCTCTCTTTCTTTCTTTGCTTTCACCCAGCATGACAAAATGGTTACTCACAAATGCTGTGTCACTCATGTTGTGTTTGCCTTGTTGCAGAAGCGCCCTCTCGCCTCACCTTGAAGCAGCAGCTGGACATTCTCATTGGTGCTGCACGTGGCTTGGAGTACCTTCACAGCTTTGGCCTTGTGCATCGCGACATCAAGCCTGCCAACATCCTCCTCACAG